TTTTTATTCACAAAAGACGTTAAGCCCTAATTGGACCAAAGTAATGCAAGATATGCTAAAAAATCTGGATCTGACCTGTACTTACAGCTTGATGGAACAGATCAAGTACTTTGAGTTGATCCATTGTCAAGTATCTATCTGAATTTAAACGAAAAAAACTATTAGAAATGTATTTTGGGATTCATACTACCAGAACATTTGTTTGACAAGCAATTCTGTCTTGCTTATAAATAACACCTTTGTAATGTTTGATCACCAGTGTTTTTATTTTTTGAAGAGCAAGCTTGGCATTATTCAAATTAAATTTTCTTGAGACAAATCGGACAAGAAAAGCATCTTCTTGTATGTATCAAAGAACACATTTAATCAATCAAGTGATATAAATTTTGTTTCTAGATATACTAACACTAATCAGAAAAAAACCAAGGTACTAGTAAGTTTAAATAGTGCAGGTTTTCTGGTAATGATATAAACTGCATGTTATGGAACCCTCCTGGGAATTGGCCCAGAAAGTGATATCACTGACAGATGGCCAGGAGGATCTCTTTACCTCCCTCCCCTGTCCTGCCTGTCTGGGGATTCTCCAGGTGTACCTAGAGGAAGAGTTTCTTAACAGAGTAAATGACAAGATCTTGAGTTAAACCATCCTTAGTAAACTTCACTGTTTGTATGCAGAACCTTAAATTTGTGTGTGAAGTGTCTATAAATTTTGCCACATTTGAACAGATTGTGGAGACAGTTAAATCCAGTGATCATCAGTTCAAAACATTCATTTGTTCACTGACTACACCAGTGTGTTCACTTCTTAGAGAGGTATGTAACTGAAGATCAAGATATATATTTAATATACCGTATATATCTACTATTACAGATTTAAAGGATTTCATTTACATTTACATGTAATTTGTATATGACGCGACAGGAAAATAGTTGTTTTAACTTGTTTCATTATAAAATCTTATCCTTTGTTTTAGCATGCTTTCGTTCTGATGCTAAAAATGAAAAGTTTAAGTGAGTACCTTTTACCTGGGCATTTCCAAATTCTCCATCATTGTCTCCATTCCATTATCCCAGATTGTGATATGGGGCTCGGATTACTTATAAGAACTATGTTTCAGTTTTCAGATCTCTGTATGAGTGTAAATTGATAGAGGACATAGCGTCAGTTAAGGATGCATATGTGTGGAAATGGTAGAGTGGTCCTATTTTAGCAGCGGCTCTAAATGTACCTTTTGAATTCAAGGTTTATTTTACACTATCACTTAACTGTCTGTTTGTATTATAGGATCGATTGAATAGTAATAGTTACAATTAAAATACACTATACTTACTGTAAAAATTAAAATGTTACATACAGAAAGTAGTTGTAAAGCACTAGTAATGGTTTGAGCTGTGTATTTACTGATTGATCAAATGGTTTCTTTTGTTGGAGAGGTCCATTTTGAAGTATCTATAGAACTTTCCTGAACTTTGTTGTACATGTATTAAGGATGCACACAGCCAAAACATTTACGTAGTGTGCAACTTTGCATTAATTTTAGGAAAAAATTGAAGTGAGCTTTGTAACATTTTTATTTCTTATGTTGATATTTATGTAGAGCAAGTTTGACAAGTTTGAATGCACCTTCCTTTACGTAATAAATAACAAAAGAAACTCATTCAAGTGATTTTAGTTTTTGTCAATTGCTAAAACTTCTTCCTGTCTCTAACAACATTTTGATTTATCTTTAAAGTTCCTGTAGGTCCTACCACAGTCCAGCATTATTCGGGAAAAGGAAAAACCAACAAAAGGTAAGTTTGAATGTAAATGTAGGTTTAATTGAATTTGAATTCTTATCACTTATAATGTCAGCAGTATTGTGATAAAATTTTAACATCTAGTCGATCTAGACTGTGTTGCAAATCTATATGTTTAATTTACTGTTGGTGGTGGTGGGGGGGGGGGGTGGTCTTATATCTAAAGACACTGTGTTTATGGCGACTTACTAATAGATGATAATTGTTGTGATAAAAAAGTCAATATCAAGAATTTTATTTATGTAAACTTACATTACCATCAACCTTTCCTCAATTTAATAGAATTATGGAGATACCTACACAGGGACTAATGTAGCCAAAGTTTTATCAGACATCACAGATGGATATTTTAAAAAGTTTGTGCAATGATTTTTCAGTTATACTCCCAATTCAGCATCCATGCGTGAAAGTTTTTGGGAACAAGTTCATTTCCAAGTATTTATGAGTCTTTCCTAGAACAAAATTTCATGGATGATGCATTGAGGGATGTTGACCCCATAGTCGCCATTTTAAAGTTACTTGCAAAAATATATTCTTTACATGTACCGCTTTTATACAAACGCTAAATAAAGATTAAAAATGTTTTTGGATATAAAATAAACATTAATAGTAATGACTTTGAAAACTTCACAAGTCAAAGAACAAAGTTCATTAGCGTAAGAATTTTTGATAATCAGTGTTACCGTAGTTCTCTACACATACGAGATAAAGACAGGAGAGGGAACCAGACTGGCCTGTTTGTTCTGCAAAAGTATTTATCAATAAAAATATGATAAGTGCTTTGAAATGTATTTCTTTTATTTTGTTTTTGTTATTCTTGGTGGGTGCAAGATATCAAGGATTTATCATACAAATAACTCATTAATTTTAATAGGAACTACAGCGTCCCAAAGAGCAATGAGAACAATGTCTGTAAATGTGAAGAGATCAAGTGTGTCCATGACGCTGTCTTTGTAGCAGGTTAGTTTTTTTTCTGTTTTTCATTCAAAAAGACTTTTTTCAATAGAATATTTAGCATTCTTTGCAGGATAAATTCCAAATGCATGTATATATGGACTTTGTACATGGACCTTATGCACATATGGACACATATTCAGTTTAAAGATTTATCATAAATATATCTAGGTCAACTTCTGTTTTGAAAATAAAAGTATTTTGACTTTGTTTTAGATAATTTTGAAAAGTTGAAGGTCACAGGCAGAAAATTCTTCAAAATCAATATAGTTTACAATTCCTAAAGACCATAGTTTTTAATAAATAGAAATAAGACCGAAATTTTTTATGTGAATTCATATCTTTATTTTTGATGTTTGTCCACCATCAGTCTGATAAATAAGTACATTTCGACTTCTTCTCTAGAACCACTGCGGTCCACTGGGCTAATTTCAACCAAACTTGGCACAAAGTATCCTTGGGTGAAGGAAATTAAAGTTTGACCACTGAAGCAGAAATTTAAGATAATTACGAAATAAAATCCTGGTATGTTTATATTTCCATGTGTGCCATGAAATTAAACTTAAACAAACGGCTAATGTAGATTCAGTTTGTTCAAATCATGACCTGAGATTTACTACAATGTCCTTTCAAAGTTTTTAGAAATATAAAGGAAAATTCTTTAAAAATCTTCTTCTCAAGAACAACTGTACCATGAAAGATGAAACTTATATGGAAGCATCCTCAGGTAATTAAAGTAGATTCAAGTTTGTTCAAATCTTGACCCCTTGGGGTAGAGCAGGGCCACAATGGCTGATCAGGATAAGGATTGGTTGGGACCACTTATGAGTTTAAACTTTTCAATAATAAACTGATTTCTGGGTTTTTTTCGTAGGCACATTGCTCAGGTGAGGGATGTGGCCCATGGGCCTCTTGTTGTCATTGCTGCTGGGTTGTATTAAGTATTCATTTATTTTAATAGGAACTACAGCATCCCTAAGAGCAATGAGAACAGTGTCTGTAAATGTGATGAAATCAAGTGTGTCTATGATGCTGTCTAATAGTTGGTTTACTTTTCTGTTTTTCATTCATAATGACTTTTTTCCATAGTATATTTAGCATTCTTTGCAGAATAAATTTCAATGCACATATATATTAACTTTGTATATGGACCTTATGATTATTATGGGCAAATATTGGAGTCTCAACATGGGAAAAATGCCTCTTAAATAAAAGTGGCTTGACCTTATTTTAAAATTATATTTAAAAGTTGAAGGTCACAGGGAGAAAATTCTTTAAACATCAAAACGGTTTACAATTTCTAAAGATCTATAGTTATGAGTAAAATAGAAAAAAGACTGAAATATGTGAATTCATATCTTTATTTTTAATTTCTCCACAGGTAGATACAATAAGTACAGCCGCACTCTGAGTCAGACTCGGCTTATCGTTGGAGGCAGGAAAAGTTACATCATCCGTGGACTCAAAAGATATTCCCTAAGCAAAATACCCAGGTTTACAGGTAAATTCCCTGAACTATATGTACAAGGGCTGTTTAGAAGGAGAATCACCAGTCATCATCTTATAAAGAGCGTGCAGGTGACAACACTACTAGAGCAAATTTTCTAAACAGTCCATAATAGTTTTATTATATAAATTATCAATTAGATGAGTAAAAAATAATCAAACCTTTTGTGTCTCCGTCTCTGCTCTGATTCCATACTTTTAAAATATGTCAACAGACAACTTTCGATCTGAAACGTCATCGTAAGAATTTATTACTTACCGATCTCTATTAGTAATACTATATTAACATGTATAAAAATCATACAGTTATCTCACTTGAAACACTCTAATTTCAAAATGTATGCTGTCACAACACAGTTGTAAATGTTCAATTATCGCTTAGGCTATTTCATTGAATCATGGAGGGTGACAACAGTTGTCATGCAAAGCGTGAGGGAGACATCACGATATGTCTCCCTACATGTGACCTGCTCTAAACCAATCAGATTGACTGTTTTCTGAAGGATTATAATATTATTTTACAGTCTAGTTAAATTAATTGTTAAAAAATGTAAATCCGTAAATAACAAATCCTAACACATTTCCATTTCACACCCTGTATGAATCTGTATCAGGTCACTTACTGACTGTGTTACGAATTTATCCTGCTGAAGACCTTTTTCAACTGCGATAAAAAAAATATTTGTGCATATTATGAAAATACTAATTTTTAATCCAATAACAATCAAAATAAAATTTTTTCGTTGTTAACAGAAATTTCTAAACTACCGCGCTTAATTTTTTTATGCCATTTTCATTTCTGATCATATTTCTATCAAAGTTTGTGTGTCACAATTTTCATATTATGCCTCGAAGACGTAAAAATAATACACTGTAAACTGAATTATTTTCGCTCTCATGTTATTAGCTTTTATCCAATCAGTAAGCAAATTTTGGGGTTAAATTTCCATATATCACCATGGAATTAACTAGGGAGAGCTCCGGGCTAAAATAGGCTGCGCCTGCTATTGACACCTATTCACATACCATCAGTGAATAAAATATTGTTATATTTGTAACAAACAGCTTGTCAAGTTAATTTTTAGTGATTTCAGAATTTCCTTTCAAATTTTTTAATAAATGTAAAATCCATAAAAATTGTTTCTGACATTCATTTGGAAATGCTACATAGAAATTCTCTAAAAATACCCAGATTGTAGATTTTTCCTAAACTTGGCAGGTACACTGTAAATTACGTATGTTATAAAATTTAGAGCTTCTCTATTGTACTTTCCACACAATAAAACCCCACTCAGCTCTCTTAACATCAATAAAATGTAAAGATTATTAAACTTTTGAGACATACATGTTTCTTTAATAAAACATGGATATAACATTGATGGTACATGTATTATAATACAAGTATTGTTGTATTACAATTTTTTACGTGCATCTTCTTGTGTTTTACTTGTGTTTAGTAGGAGTAGGATTTCACTTTAGATATTTGATTTTCTTCACTTGTCTGTTTAACCATTGAGCAACAAACAGATTGTCATTTGTATCTGTACACACTCCCCAGGGTTCACTCAGTCCACAGTGTATGTAACGGAGGAACTGTCCATCCTGGTCTATGATATGGACACATTCATTGTTAATATCAGCTGTAAGGATGTGACTCTGACTGTCTGTGGTGATTCTTAGTGGATAGAATGGTTGGTTCTTTAAAGTAGGAGTGTGTCCAGTGTACCTGAATCTCAGTTTCCCGGCCTGATTAACAACCACTACTGCTTTAGCTCCATCATCAGACACACAGATATCCAGGTTCCTGTTCTCAGTTATGGACCAATAATTACCAAATATAAACATAAATCCTTGTAATGAATAGAGACGTTTACCTTGATCATCAAACTGAATGGTTTGTTTCTCTGTGGAGCCAGAGTAACGGACAACTTTTGTTTGTTTGTAATCATCACTTTCCATGATAACCAGGAGGTCACCAGAGGAGTTACTACAGACACCTTTAGGTATCCAGTTCTGTAGTCTGATCACCTCCTCTATCTTCTCATTCTTCACAATGTTCACAGTTCTATCATCATAATCAGTATAAACTAGATCTCCACTTTTTGTCACTGCTATGTCCAGTGGTATTTTCCCTGACTTGGTTGTGATTGACTTGAGAAGTGATCCCTGATTGATGTTGTAGAGTTTCATGGTGTTGCAATTTGCACTTGTCCAGATTTCTTCATCACTCAGACAGGCCACATTGCTAAGGTAATTGATATACCCAGTATTTATGGTGGTGACAGTCTCTGGTTCGTCAAGCAGCTGTTTGACTGGAGGAGAGGATCCAGCTTCTGGTGATTTCTGTGTTGTCTTCATGCTGTAGCCATGCTTATCTGAAGCTAAAGAACTTAATGATAAGGTTCCAAATATTTTACCAAGTTCTTCATTAATTCTGCCTGGAGCAAATTTTGGTAAAGATGACTGAATTTTTTGTGGAAGATTTCTATATCTATCTACATTGATTGTAATGTTAAACAGTTTTGAAATGTTGTTAGAATCATTAGTAAGATCAATTGAATTGATTTCATCCCTAATGTTAGAAATGTTCTTATTTATTTCATCCAGATGTTTCTGTAGAGTTTTTAACTGTGTGTTTTTCATCTCATGAATTTCATCTTTAAGTTTCTGGACAAGTTTGTCAATTTCTCTGTGCCAGTCCTCTCCATGTTTTGTTATGGCTGTTGAGAGATCTCCATATTCCTTTTCTAACTGACTCATTCTGTTTTGTACATCAGAGGCAATGTCCTGGTAGGCTGGGTAAATTACATCATTTAATTCAGTTTGATCTTTGATGATTTTGTCTTTTTTTTCATCCACAATCTGTAAGATTTCTGATAATTTATGACCAAGATGTTGATCAGATGCTAGACACTTTGTACAAACAGGAATGTCACATTGATTGCAGTACATTGTACATGGTTGTTTGTTATGAAATTTACATCCAGGATAGAGGGGAGTGGATTTCCTGTCCTTGAAACCAACAATTTTATGAGGTTTTGAGAGATCAGCAGAAAAGTGTTCTCCCACACAGGCCTTACACAGATTGACAAGACATGTATCACAGTGCATCTGTACCACAGCGGTCTCACACAGGTCACATCGCATCACGTCCTGGGCACTGGTACCGGGGTCCATGATTAAAGCAAAAGTTTTATCTCTTTCACACTTAGAGACTAGAGATAAAAGTAAATTAAGCTGTTTAATGTTAAAGTATTTCCTTTATATTGATGGAGTAATTTAGAGGATTTACTTATTCAAAATACTTTATTTATTAAGGTCTTCCGTTTCCAACGGAAGACCTTCTACTGATTCTGATGGTAAAGATTATTATTCTTTTTTTTTTCTTCTACTTCCTAGACCGCAACTTTGAGGCCTCATATCTCACTCATATCTCAACGGATTTCGCTCAAATTTTCAGAGGTTATAGATGTTTATAAACTCTACCAGAATGCTGACTAAAATTTCAAAAAGTCACTTCCGGTTTTGAGTTATTTCCCTTTAAACGAAAATTTATAGGCTTTCATTTCCGGATAAAGGCTCAGAGACCACAAAAGCTGGAGCAGAATTTTTACTGATTTTAGGTAATAGAAGGATTGAAGTTATGCACATGGGTTTTTGTTTTTCGATTTCTGTATTCACAATGGCGTTATATAGGGGTCAAAAATTAGAACGCCTAAAAGAGCGAAAATTTACACATATTTTCCTTTTTATCTTGAAAACTAAAAATATTTTGTTAAGACATAATGAACAAAAGTTGTGCATAATTGCAAGGGCTTTAATATAATAATATTCAAAAGGGACTGGCCCCTATAAATAGGGATCAAGGGACCTTGAAAGTTTTTGCTTTACAACTCAAAAACGGTAAATATTTGGAAATGACTATCGCTTATAAAGTTGTGCTTTAACATCTTACTGATCTCATGAAATTGTAATTCTGTTCGAGTCTTGTTTTAAATGAGCTGGTGCATGACTTATATATGCACAGGTAATTCTTTTCACTCAGCACGTAAAGGAGAGCTTCTCATGCTAATAACCAAAGCAAGTTACTATAAATAATAAACATGGCTACACTGGATGCTAATATTCTTCAGAATAAAGTTCTCGAAGTGTTTGTGCTTTTTTTCTTACAAATTATCATGTTTATTCACTGACAACTTTCCCCTTTTATTTCATTTTTTAAAAATCGTATAAACCAAGTCTACTAAAAGGGGAAGAAAATATCATCTTTTCTTCTTATCACGTAAAAGCAAACAATATAGTGAGAAAATAAAACTTAACTAAAAAGCACATTTACTATTCACAGCCATTAAGTGCACGGCTTCAACATTTACCTTGTGTGTTTACAATTATGTAACACGCCTCCCTCGATAGGGGCGGGGCAAAGTCGGTCACCGGGAATCAATCGGCGTGTGATCCAGTGACCTACAGTCATACAAAAAAAAAAAAAAAAACACCACAGAATGGTTAAATTAATTCTTGATAAAATTGTTCCTTCTTATACTATCTCTGTCCCATGAAAATATTATTTTGTTCGAGTCTTACGTATGGTAGGAAAGAAAGCTAGATCCGTATTCACCGTAAACAAGGCTCCGTTCTCATTTTGATATTGAAGAACTCTTTATGCGTATAATTGAAATAAACTTGCCGTAAGTAATAAATATTGTAGTGCTTTTAGCTGTCGGCACCACAAATATCGCCAATATATAGCGAATAAACATCAAACGCGAGCTGGCCACAAAATGTACTTGTATTCTGTGTACAGTATAGCCCGCGTTATGTCACGGGAGATAACCCAAAAAGATCACTGTAAAAATAGAAAATAAAAGAAGTCTATAAAACTGGTCCATTTTCACCACACTGCCCCCCTCTAGGCTCCTTTAAGTCCACTAAAGGTTAAGCCGACTTTGGCGACGTATTTCACGGCCAGCTCGAGTCCGCAGTGGCCTCGATTCTTGACCAGCAATAATCTCCTTTGGTGCCTCCAGGGAATCACCTGAGTCTATGATTTCTTGGTTGGGCGCTCTGTCTGTTTCACTGTTCACTTCATCTTGACATTCCTGTATGGTTTCCAAGTCGTTCTCTTCTGGGAGATTAAACCTGTTGACCCAGCCGGGTACGGAATCCGAGGTATATGCCTTACGACGATCGTGATGAATCACAGCCGACTTTTTGCGTCCTTGTACCTCGTACAAAAACAGCCGTATCTCTTTTTTGACGATAAAAGGTCCCTCCCAAACAGATTGCAACTTGGGCGACTTACCCACCTGTTTCGCCATTTTGTTGACATACACCAAATCACCTACTCCGTATTGCTTACTGGAAATGCGCAGATCATAAAGACGCTTTTGCTTTATCTGCGCCTGCTGAAGTGATTTCCGCGCAACATCATGGGCTGTGCTCAGAGCATATTTAAGCTTCTCGATGTATGTTGGGGTATCCAATAGGTATCGAATTGTTTCTGGGTCCTTAAAAACTAGTTCGGCAGGTTGGTGTACCTCTCTACCCAACATCATAAAGTTTGGGGATATTCCTGTGGCTTTGTGAGGAGTGCTTCGGGTCTGCAGAAAGTAAGAGAGGCAACTGTTCATCCCAAGTTTTCTGCTCTTTGTCGACATAACACCGGATCATTTGCAAAACAGTCCTATTGAAGCGTTCAACCTGACCATTAGAGGAAGGATGATAAGGTGTGGTCCTTGTTTGAGCAACTCCTAGCAATTTGCACACAGTCCTGAACAGATCACTTTGGAAATTTCTGCCCTGATCAGTATGTATCTCAAGAGGGGCACCAAACCTAGCTATGAACTCCTCTCAGCTTTTGCTGTTGTCTCACTGCACTGGTCTGGGACAGCATACACCTCCACCCATTTGGTGAACTGGTCAGTTATTACCAGGAATATGTACTTATTGCCACTTGAACTTGCAGGGAATGGGCCAAGTACATCAATATGCAAACGATCTAGTGGAGCACCATAAATATAGGACTGCATTGCTGCTTTGCTTTTACGTGAAGCTCTCTTTTCCATACCACATGTGGCACAACTTGATACATAGTGCAGGACATCTGCTGTCAGACCATACCAATAGAAGCTGCGTTTTACTCTCTCCAAGGTTCTTCTTTCGCCTTGGTGTCCAAGAGTATGGTGGATCATGACAACTCTCTACTACTCTCCTCCTGAGTGTTTTTGGCACAAACAGTCGCAGTGACCGTGTATTGAATCATGCAACCATTCGTAGTGGAGTATCCCATTGACAAGACAAAACTGTTGAAGATTGAGGAAATAACTCCTAGCTGCGGGACCGAATTATTACATCACAGGCTTCCGGTTTGTCATGTAACAACCAGTTGGATACTAGTTGCGCTTCTTCGTCCTCAGATTGTGCAGTTTTTAAATCCTCCTGTTCCAACCAGTTACAAGTAGCAGGTTCAGAGGGTGTTACTTCACGAACTGTCAATGGTACAATATAATCAACATCCTCTGTAAATCTCTCCCACTGCTCTTCAACTCTCTGGCAGTATGCACACCCACCACAAGGTAACGACTTAGAGCAAGTCCCAGCACTGTAACAATCACAAGTTGTCGTATCTAGCCGAGATAAGGAGTCTGCATTGCCATGAGATTTTCCTGCTCGGTGCTGAATGACAAAAGAATACTGACTCAATTCCTCGAGCCACCGAGCCAGTTGACCTTGAGGTGATTTGAAGCGGAATAACCATGCCAAACTGCTATGGTCAGTTCTGAGGAGGAATTTTCTGCCCAACAGATAATGCCTATACTGGTGACAAAAGGCAACCACTGCCAGCAATTCTCGTCGAGTGACGCAGTACCGCTCCTGTACAGGTCCTAGGCGTCTGCTGGAGAAAGAAATCACCTTTTCAACGCCATCTTGTTCCTGAGAGAGGACCGCTCCAATGCTGAAATTGGAAGCATCTATGTCGAGAATCATTGTACCCTCAGCAAGTGGGTATGCAAGGACTGGAGCTGAATTAAGTGCAATTTTTAGCTCCTCAAACGCTGTCGCCTGTTCTTCACCCCATTGGTACGGTACACCTTTGCGTGTGAGGCTGTGCAATGGACGAGCTATATCAGCGTACCCTTTCACAAATCTGCGATAGTAGTTCGTCAACCCTAAAAAGGCTTGGAGCTCCTTGAGACTTCCTGGAATTGGCCATCTCTGCACATCTTCTCTCTCTCTCAGCGAGGGATTTGCTCGAACCCCATCTTTACTTACAACGTGACCCAAAAATATGACCTTTTCTTGGAATAAGTTGCATTTTTTAGGCTTTAACTGTAGTCCAAATTCTCGAAATCGGAGGAACACCTTTCTAAGATTACTTAGGTGCTCATGAAATGTACTCCCCGTGATGATTACATCATCTAGGTAGATCAGAAGGATGATCCACTGAAGTCCTCTTAAAACCAATTCCATTCCTCGTTGGAAGGTAGAGGGCGCATTGCAGAGCCCGAAAGGCATTCGTGTGTACTCAAACAAGCAATGCCTGGTAATAAATGCAGTCTTGGGTCTGTCACTTTCAAGAACTTCAAACTGGTGATACCCACTCATAAGGTCAAGTGTGGAGAACAGTTTGGATCCCCCTAAAGTGTCCAAACACTCCTCAATCTTAGGAAGGAAATATGCATCTTTCTGTGTGACTTCGTTTAGCTTGCGATAGTCCACGCACGGCGTACTCCACCATCCTTTTTGCGGACTAACACTACAGGAGATGCCCATGCAGAGCTTGAGGGAACAACCACGCCATTTACCAACTGTTTTTTTCAAATATTCAGCTTCTTCACTCTGGAAACTTAGAGGTGTTCGTCTCGCAGGTTGTCTGATAGGTTTTGCTCCATCTGTGTTGATTTGGTGCTTAATTGCAGTAAAAGTGCCAAGATCATAGTCCTCTCTCGAGA